CTGCCTTTCTACCTACTTGTGATTTCTCAAATAAATAAATGATTCTTTAAAAAAAAAAAGAGGGCGTGCCTGGGTGGCTCAGTGGGTTAAGCCTCTGCCTTCAGCTCAGGTCATGATCCCAGGGTCCTGGGATCGAGGCCCACATTGGCCTCTCTGCTCAGCAGGGAGCCTGTTTCCCCATCTCTCTCTGCCTGCCTCTCTACCTACTTGTGATCTCTCTGTCAATAAATAAATAATTCTTTAAAAAAGAAGAATCCATCAAAATCCTAGAGGAGAACATAGGTATCAATGTCTTTGACCTCAACCACAACAACTTCTTGCTAGAGATGTCTACAAAGGCAAGGGGACCAAAGGAAAAATGAACTTTCAGGACTTCATCAAGATAAAAGGTCCTGCATGGCAAAGAAACAGTCAACAAAACTAAAAGGCAACCTATGGAATGGGAAAAGATATTTGCAAATGACATCAGATCAGATTAAGGATTTGTTTCTAAGATCTGTAAGGAACTTATGAAACTCAACACCCAAAAAACCAAATAGTCCAGTCAAGAAATGGGCAGAAGACATAAACCGCCATTTCTCTGAAGGAGACATACAAATGGTCAACAAACAGATGAAAACCATGCTCCACACCCCTCGCCATCAGGGAAATACAAATAAAACCACAATGAGGTACCACTCATACCAGTCAGAATGGCTAAAATTAACAAGTTAGGAAACAACAAATGTTGCCGATGATGTGGAGAAAAGGGAAACCTCTTACACTGTTAGTGGGAATGCAAGCTGGTACAGCCACTCTGGGAAACAATATGGAGGTTCCTCAAGAAGTTAAAAATAGAGCTACTCTATGACCCATCAATTGTACTTCTGGGTATTTACCCCAAAGTTACAAATGTAGTGGTCTGAAGGGGCACCTGCACCCTATTGTTCATAGTAGCAATGTCCACAATAACCAAACTGTGGAAAGAGCCCAGATGTGCATTGATAGATGAATGGATAAAGAAGATGTAGTGATAAATATCTATATCTATATCTATATCTATATCTATCTATCTATCTATATACACACATACATATACATACATACACACACTCATACACTAGAATGTTACAGCTTGAAGGAAAAGCAAGATAGGAAGCAATGACAGCGAATTAATTTGACCCAGTTTATAACCAACATTATCTTTGCCCACCCACAGCTCCCTGAGATTACCTCAGGTGCCTTGTCTCCTGATAGCACAGATTGATTTGACCTCCCCCAGATGAGGTTCCCCTGGTGTGGTGGGCATCATAGCAGCTCCAGCACCAGATCTGATCTCATCATACACATGGAGGCTCTGGGATCTCCCACCTGGACTCAGATGAACTGATCTGCTGTGGGATATAGGATCTGGTTTCCCCAGACAGTCAGATCAACCCAGAAGTCAAGAAAAGTCCGGTGAGGCAAAGCTTGACCAAGGAGAGAGACAAGATGAAAAGGAGCTGGCCTCTCTCTCTTTCTCCCTTTATCCTCCTGCCAAGAGTCTGTCCTGTCCCAAGAAACAGTTATAAGTGGCCTTTCTGGAAAGTCTTGCATGGCCACACCACCATCCGCATTGTCTTACAAGACAGCACCCAGCAAAGGGATGCACCATCTTTAATTTGTTTTCCTTTCTTCCCTGTTTCATGTCCTTTTCCTTCCTCACCCTTGCTGGCTTAAGATTGCACACACAACCCCTTAAAACCTGGATACATGTTGTGCCTCAGGTTGTTTTCTAGGAAAATCTGGACTTAAGTACACAGTTAATACAGAAAACAGGAGAGAACTTAAAATCCTCAGGCTCTCCAAAAAGATTCAAGAATTCATTTGTTTGATAATAAAAGAATAGGCTTTCTTCAAGTTGTTCTACAATTTAAACTTATACGGAACTATATGTTGATTATATCTCTCTATGACTGGAGGTAAATTATTTTTTTAATATTAAAACAACAACAAAAAAGTAGCCTTTCTCTTTCTAGTTCTCATTTTACATTTTAATTAAGACAAATGATTTGGCTTTTAATTATTATCAAACATTTCATATTTTAATATTATAACACTATTAATTATTATATAGAAAATACATGAAGATATTATTACTATATTATATTATTATGTATATTACATATATTTTTCATTATTATTATGTCATGGGTAGCAATATATTACAGGAACAGCCTGTTATCATGGAATATTTCAATCTTTTGTCTGAGACACAAAAAGAGGTTATAACACTGAATTTGACTAATACTTATGTAAGTTATGACTTTGTGTGTTGATTTGAAAAGATGAGTAGGAATCATACCAAATAAATAATTTTGTGTAGCTACAGAGAGGTTTAATCTTAGATATTTTCATATTTTGCTTTTTAACTTTTGCTTATGTATATTGTGTGTTGATACATGTGCTATATCTAACAACTGTCTTTGCCTTTGACAAAGCTCTTCATCTCAACAAATATCTTGTAGCAACTAAAAGAAAGAAGAAGCTGTTATGGAAATGGCACAATAAAAGAACAATAACCAAAAAAGTTTCTGAGAAATTAAATCTGTGGTTTCTGAAATTTTAATGACAATGTTCAGAAACAGAATGAATATGCAAAAGGCCAAATTATTAGTCAGGAAAAGAAAGTTAAGGATTTAGAGGAAAAGTAAAGAGGAAGGAGTTATCCAAGAAGGCCAGAACCGACCCAAAAGGAATTTTGTCAAGATGACAAGAAGAAATGCAATCCAATCAACTATTTCCCTACAGTGAAAAGGAACAACTTTTAGATCAACAGAAGCTAGAACATGCTGAGCCTGGTGGTGAGTATTAAGGAGGGCATGGATTGCATGGAGCACTAGGTGTGGCGCATAAACAATGAATCTTAGAACACTGAAAAAAAAAAAAAGAATACTGAAAAAGATAACCCCAAGAAGAGATTTTGTAAGGGAGAAGAGAATAAATTTCTATATCAGTATTAGATATATGTATATGTATCTATGTAAGAAAAAATATATAAAAATATACTAAAAATAAAATGAAATGTCCTACCTCCAAGGAAAAAGAGGAAATCTTACAAGCTACCAGAAAGAGGGAAAAAACAGTTATTATAAAGAAAACAAGATTCAAATTGAGAATGTTAGATATTAAAAATAAGGAAGAGATATCTATGAATTCCTGAGAGAAAATGATTGTAAATCAAGAGTTTTACTTCCATCTCATTCTGGATTCCAAAATGTAAAGAGCTGGAGTTTTAAAAAATGTCACAACAACTGAGAGTCAGGTCCAAGAAGTCCATTGTCCAAAACAGGAACCACCAGGTACCTGAATCTATGGCTAGTCTGAACTGAAATGTACTGTAAGCATAAAATGCACTCTGGAAATCAAAGACAATATGAAAAAAGTACATAAATGGTCTCATTAGTGCTTTTTATATTTATTACAGCTTGAAATGATACTTTTGATATGCTGAGTTAAAGTATATTACTAGAAGATATGGTCCATCTATACAATGGAATATGCCTCCATCAGAAAAGATGAATACTCAATTTTTCTGTCAACATGGATGGGACTGGAGGAGATTATGCTGAGTGAAATAAGTCAAGTAGAGAAAGTCAATTATCATATGGTTTCACTTACTTCTGGAGCAAAGGGAATAACTTGAGGGATATTAGGGGAAGGAAAGGAAAAGTAAATTGGGGAAAATCAGAGGAGATGAACCATGAGAGACTGTGGACTCTGAGAAACAAACTGAGGGTTTTGGAAGGGAGGGGAGTGGGGGGATGGGTGAACCTGGTTGTGGGTATTAAGGAGGGCAAGGATTGCATAGAGCACTGGGTGTGGTGCATAAACAACGAATCTTGGAACACTGAAGAAATAAAATAAAATTTGAAAAATGTATATTATTAAAAATAATTTCCTGTTTTTACATTTTAAATGTAGCTACCAGAAAATTTAAAATTACTTGTGTGACTCCCATAAGTGGCTTCTGTTAGATTTCTATTAGAAACTATTCCACTAGAAAATATATTGAGATAAACTCAGCAAAACAAATTATTTTCCTTTTCAAATAAATATGACTATATCCTACTGTAAGTATTGGGGAATTTGGGGGGATAGCAAGTATTCTCATTACTTAGGCCAAGGTTGCAAACTGTGGCCCTGGGCTGGCCCACTGCCTGTTTTTGTAAATAAAGTTTTATTGGTACACAGCCACATCCATTCATTTATGTCTGTGGCTACAGTTACATTATAAAGACAGGGCTGAATAGTTGCAACAGAGACCATATGGCCTGCAAAGCCTGAAATATTTACTAGATAGCCCTGTACAGAAAAAGTTTGCTAACTTCCATCTTAAAAGAGAGAGTTCCTGGGTGGCTCAGTGGGTTAAAGCCTCTGCTTTCGCTCAGATCATGATCCCAGGGTCCTGCTTCCCTTCCTCTCTCTCTCGGCCTGCTTCTCTGCCTACTTGTGATCTCTGTCTGTCAAATAAATAAATAGAATCTTAAAAAAAGAAAAAGAGAGACATCCATGTCATAGGGAGTTGGAGTGTGGTTTAAATAAGAAAAATGCCCAGCATGACATTGGATGCATAGGAGGACTTATTTTTTAAACTGGGCATTTCATTAATTTTGGGATTGACTCCTTTAAACAAACACATATTCCTCTGACCTAAGTTCTCTGATCTGCAGAAGGTAGGATGATTACTCCTATTTTACAGGCTATACACTTGAGATGGAGGATTCAAGCAATTTCCCCAAAAGTTGCACAGCTGCTTAATTAGAGCTGAGATGGAACACAAGTCAATTTCACCTGGACCTCAAATTCTTACTCTCACATGAATGATGCTACAGAGTAAAGGGACATGACCTTCAGGCAGGACACTGAAGCCTTTCCCCTCTGAGAATCCTACGGCCAGCTTCCCTTCTAAGATTTGCATACTCTTGCAGTAATGCCACTCTTTCTACAAGCCCAGAATCACCTCTGCAAGTGACGTTCCGGTCTGTGAAATTTATTTCTCCTGTGTTCGAAACATATCCATCTATGCAATAACAGAAGTATTTTTGTTCCTTGGAGACACAGTAAGATTTAGCAGGGCAGGGATGGCTTGTGCATGGATCTGTAGAGAGAAAGAGAGAGAGAAGAAGGCAGCACTGTGCATTCTCTATTTGATTCAATATTTAATCAATCTAATCCCCATTTGAAGTCCTGTCTCTTAAAATGTCAACAAATGACTTTACTCACTCGTGAGTTAAAAATAATTCTTTCCTCTAGGACTCTTTCCAGATGCACTTTAAAAGTTTCTTGGGTTTTTAAAAAATTTAATCTTATTTTTTCAGTTCCAAAATTCATTGTTTATGCACCACAACCAGTGCTTCATGCAATACGTGTGCTCGTTAATGCCCATCACCAGGATTTAGGTAATAAGCTAGTTAAGTCAGTGTAATTCTGTTGTTGATATATTAGACAAACAAACCATCTCCGTCATGTGCTACTTCCAATATCATACACAAAGACAGACAGAACAGCATATGTGCCATTTCCCTGCCCCACACGCATAACCAGACCTAAATATGGGGAAATCTCAGACAAACGCAATTGGTGCACATGCTCTAATCTAACTACCTCGCCTCAACAAAAATGTCAACGTCATGAAAGAAAAAGAAAGGCTGAAAGTAATTGTCCTAGACTAGAGGAGATGAAAGAAACATAGTAACTAAATAAAATGCCTACGTGATTGAAGAATAAATCCCAAACTTGAAAAAAAATGTATTACTGGAGCAACTGAAAAATTTTTGACAGTAGGTTTAAATTATAGAATTGAATCAACGACAAATTTCCTAAATTGACCCTGTGTTATGTAAGAGTATGTCCATATTCTAAGTAGATAAATGCTAAGGGATTTAGGGGCATGATATCCACAATTTATTTTCCAATGGATTAGTGAAAAATAAATACACACAGATATATATATATATATATATATATATATATATATATGAATATTTATAACCATTACATAATCTCAATGTGACACAAAACTAAGTTGAAGATATATCTATATTGTATATAGGTATGTTAACCTTAAAAGTAAAAGAGCCAGTTTTTTATTGGGAAAAATGGGTTTATTTGGGATGGAAGAGAACTGCAAAGCGGGAAACACAAGACAGCCCACAAGGCAGAGGCAAGTGGCCTACCCACTAAACAAAAGAGACTTCTGTTTTAGAGAGAAAAGAGGAAGTTGGGCAGGGCTATTCTACGCAAAAAGTCCATTGGACTAAACTGGGAGTTTGAAGTATAGTGGCTTCTCATTGGCTGAGCTGTGACTGTCTCCCATTGGCTGAGCTGTGGCTGTCTTTCATTGGCTGGGCTGTGACTACCTCTCATTGGTTAGTCTGCTGGGGGGAGGTGAAGGAGGAGAGCAAGTTAGAGGAGACTTTCTTCCTCCTACTGGCTGAGTGAAATCGTATTGGCTCGCAAGGTCCGTCTCTTCTTGTTGTGTTTGTAATTGACCACAAGTGGCAGGGCAGGAGAACTCCTGTTGAACCTCCAGACTCCATGTTAGTGAGGTTTCCTTTTAATTAATTTTCACTGATAGATATATATATGATTATTTTTGCTAATAGATACTTGTGTGTTTAGAGAGGTAGCTAGGAAACCAGAAGGAAATGTAGCTGTATGTTAGCAGTTGATGAATCCAGGTGAAAAGTATAGGGTGATCATTTTTACTATCATTACAATAGTTCTATAGATTTAAGTGTCCAAAATAAAAAGGCAACTAAAGAAAACTGTCGTGCCATGTTTTATTAGGAGACATTATCCTGTCCGAATTCCACCTGTTTTGGCCCCTACCAGTAAGTGTTTGCAGCTCAAACTAAGGTGATGACATTAATACGTTGAAATTGTTTGTCCCTTCCCATTAACCTTTGCACTATGGGGGAATGAAGTGCCCTTATTGCTGTACCATTTACATAGCTGGGACCTCAGCTGATTTCTGAAATATCTCCAAGCCTCCTTGTCCTCATCTTTAAAGTGAGAATAGAACAATGTAGCCAAAGATTAGGCTAAGTACCTGCCCCATAACTAATGGGTCAGTTGCATCGATTTTGTTAATTGGTCTGTGATTATTTGAGAGCATGCCCATGTTCTTAGAATATGCATACTGAAGTATTAAGGAGTGCAGGATTATGGTGTTTGTAGCTTCTTCTCAAGTAGTTTAGAAAAAAAATTATGTGTTTGCGTATTATATATCTATACATATATACAATGCATGTATGAAATTATTATACCATATATCATACATGGAGTATACAAATGTATGTAGGTCCTCTGTTTATGTATTCTTTCAAAACATGTCTCCAAAGACCAGGGAAATGAACTTTTGAGACTTCATCATGATAAAAACTTCTACACAGCAAAAGGAACAGTCAACAAAACTAAGAGGCAACACACAGAATGGGAGAAGATATTTGTAAATGACATTACAGATAAAGTGTTGGTATCCAAGATCTATAAAGAACTCAAACTCAACACCCAAAAAGACAAAGAATCCGGTCAAAAAATGGGCAGAAGACGTGAACAGACATTTCTCCAAAGAAGACATACAAATGGCTAATGGACACATGAAAAAATGTTCAACATCACTAGACATCATGGAAATACAAATCAAAACCACAGTGAGATACCACCTCACACCAGTCAAAATGGCAAAAATTAACAAAACAAATCTTGCCATTTGCGACGACGTGGATGGAACTAGAGGGTATTATGCTTAGCGAAATAAGTCAATCAGAGAAAGACAATTATCATATGATATCCCTGATATGAGGAAGTTGAGAGGCAATGTGGGGTTCTTAGGGGGTAGGAAAAGAATAAGTGAAACAAGATGGGATCGGGAGGGAGACAAACCATAAGAGACTCTTAATGTCACAAAACAAACTGAGGGTGGCGGGGGGGCGGGTAGGGAGAGGGTGGTGGGGTTATGGACATTGGGGAGGGTGCATGATATGGTGAGTGCTGTGAAGTGTGTAAACCTGGCGATTCACAAACCTGTACCCCTGGGGCTAATAATACATTATATGTTCATAAAAAATAAAATATTTTAAAAAAATTAACAAAACAGGAACAACAATTTCTGGAGAAGTTGTGGAGAAAGGGGAAACCTCTTACACTGTTAGTGGGAATGCAAGTTGGTGCAGCCACTCTGGAAAACAGTATGGATGTTCCTCAAGAAGTTAAAAATAGAGCTATCCTGCAACCCAGCTATTGCACTACTAGGTATTTACCCCAAAGATACAGATGTAGTGAAAAGAAGGAAGCCCAATGTTCACAGAAGCAATGTCCACAATAGCCAAACTGTGGAAGGAGCTGAGGTGTCCTTCAACAGATGAATGGGTAAAGAAGATGTGGTTCATATATACAAAGAAATATTACTCAGCCATCAGAAAGGATGAATACCTATCATTTACATCAACATGGTTGAAACTGGAGGGGATTATGCTAAATGAAATAAGCCAAGCAGAGAAAGACAATTATCATATGGTTTCACTCATATGTGGAATATAAGGAATAACGCAGAAGACCATAGGGGAGGGGAGGGAAAACTGGGAGGAAATCAGAGAGGGAGACAAACCATGAGAGACTCTGGACTCTGAGAAACAAACTGAGGGTTACAGAAGGGGAGGGATGGGGTAACCAGGTGATGGGTATATGGAAGGCATGTGTTGTGATGAGCACTGGGTGTTATATGCAACTAATGAATCATTAAATGCTACATCAAAAACTAATGATATGGGGTGCCTGGGTGGCTCAGTGGGTTAAAGCCTCTGCATTCGGCTCAGGTCATGTTCCCAGAGTCCTGGGATAGAGCCCCGCATCAGGCTATCTGCTCAGCAGGGAGCCTGCTTCCCTCTCTCCCTCTGCCTGCCTCTCTGCCTACCTGTGATCTCTGTCTATCAAATAAATAAATAAATAAAATCTTAAAAAAAAGAAAAAACTAATGATATGCTGGCAAACTGAACATAAAAAATTTTTTTAATAGCCTTTGAAGCATGAAAACTACAAGTCCCTAGACTTCCAAGTATGTTTCTATGACTGAAATGATAACAGAAAAATAGCCTAAGCTTTAAAATTATATTGTAGGAAATTACAGATGCACAAGAATCAGTTTCCTCTGAGCTTTGATAATTACAATTTAAATAGAGTACTGACATGCTGTAATTATAATATTAAAGTGCTAAGATTATCAAATGATCAAAAGGGGTATTCTGGGCTCCTAAGAGATTGTGTAAATGTTATTAAAATGTTTACTGTATTTCAATTAAATCATAGGAAGATCATTATTATGTGTATGTTTCTGTTCATATCTAACTGGCAATCTTTTGACACGGATAAAATTATTGCTATTGTGTCTATTTAATAATATTGATTTTTAAAAATTAAAAAAAAAAGAAAATGTCAGGCAAAATGGAAAACTGTCTTCTCATTCCATCCTTGTATGAATCTGGGCATAGTCTTTCATATGAACACAGTATAGAAATTGTGGAATAATGTCAATGGAACTGCACAGAAGTGTCAGTATTGGCCACTCTGGACCTACAAAATGGCAATCAATGTAGCCTATCCTAATTAACCAAGAGTCGCAGAGCTTTTAGAAATGATGGTTGATTTTGCATTTGTTGTTGAGGCCATAGGGAAAGACCACATCCTGAAGGACTGTGCCCTGATGCACTGGGCATTCCCATTCAAATATACCAATTTAAGGAGGGCACGTATTGCATGGAGCACTGGGTATTAAGCAATGAATCTTGGAACACTGCATCAAAAACTAATGACGTACTGTATGGTGACTAAGATAACATAATAAAAAGTAATAAAAAGAGCTTGCTTTTGGTTTCAAGTGCCAACATACCATTGTATGTCCTCACAACAAGGACCAAACAGGAAAGCCCTAAGAAAAATAAAAGAAAGGAATTAACATTTCAGGAATCTTCCTTAAATCCTTCTGAATACTCCTGGCCACCCACCTGTTTCTTCCAGGGCTAGTACTTGATTTACAACACAGAACTTATTGTCTTGACTATAACAAAGGGCAGCATGTTAAATAGAGGTAAATTTATCATTATCACCTACCATATACCATATACCCCACTCATACCAGGCAGAATGTTCTGTTCATTTAAATAGATTCAGTTCCCTCTTTCCTAACAATATGTGGATACATTTCATTAAGGGTTTTAATCAATTTTATGAAGCTGACAAATGCTAGCAAACTTAATAAAATGGTCTCTTCTTCGGAAGCTGCTCAACAGTTATATCAGGTTTAAGCTGCTGTGGCTGGAGGCCAATTTAAAAAGACCAACACAGGGCCTCATGGGTGGCTCAGGTCATGGTCTCAGGGTCTTGGGATTGAGCCCCGCATCTGGCTCTCTGCTCGGCAGGGAGCCTGCTTTCCCCTCTCTCTCTCTGCCTGCCTCTCTGCCTACTTGTGATCTCTGTCAAATAAATAAATAAATAAATAAATAAAAAAACAATAGACCAACACAAAATAAATGTTTACTACTCATAAATACTGGAGAGAAAAGGTGGGAAATATAGACCAGGATGTGAAGAGTGGTCATTTCTAGGTAGATTTCAATTTTGCTCATGGGCATTTTCTAACTTTTCCTAGAGTAAATATGGGTTACTTACGTAGCAACTTATATTCTCCTCTCAGGGAATATAAAATGATGTTGGAGAATAGAAGCTGTGAGAGTATTCACCTTTTGAGAAAAATATCATATGCATCACCACCACCACCAGCCCCATGAACACAGAAATCCTGCCTTTTTGGTGATATTCATGAATTTTAACCAGGGTGACTGCCTGATTATTTTGAAGGCAAAGTTCTGCTTTTTTCTTTTTTTTTTTCTTTTCAAGATATTTTTTATTTATTTGACAGAGAGAGGAGAGAGGTCACAAGTAGGCAGAGAGGCAGTCAGAGAGATGGGAAACAGGCTCCTTGCTGAGCGGGGAGCCCGATGTGGGGCTCGATCCCAGGACCCTGGGATCATGACCTGAGCTAAAGGCAGAGGCTTTAACCCACTGAGCCACCCAGGTGCCCCGAAGTTCTGCTTTTTAAGCAAAGAGCTTGATTGCCCTAGCAGTGAAAACTCCACCTTATCTTTCTTGTATGAGTCATTCTGGTTTTCTGATGAAACTGTTAGACCCAGACAGTGTTCCTATTTCCCAGGTCTGCCAACCCAAGTGCCGAGGAAGTTTATCAAAAAGAGATGACCGCCAACTGACCTATGAGCTGGACACTCAGAGGCTCCTGGCCCCCTCCCCGTCCTTGGAGAGTGGGTTCTCCTGGCCTTCCCTGCTTTCAGAGGCTGCTCTAAGGACATCTCCTTGAGATAGTGATGTGGTGTATGCATGACTGAGCCCTGTTAAGGCCCCTTTCTCTATATGTAGACTTACAAGATTTGGTGGATGGATGTGGGGGTCCATTTGTCTTGCTGTTGCAAGACAAATCCCCTATGTAAGTTCCCTTTGCTTATTGAAACTGCCACCTCCCAACCTGGACTGGCCAGTCTCCTCCTTCAGTCTCTCTACCCTGAAGTAATGGGGCCAGTTCAGAGGACACCCAAGAACCTCCCAAAAGGGAGGGTTGTGAACCAATATTAACTCCACAGTCAGTATAAGGGGAACAGTCCCTTCCCCTACAACCCAGCAGGTGGGGGCCAGCTCAGTGTTCCTGAGAGGCAGCTGGACCCAGGTATCAGTGATAGGTGTCGTTCTCTCATAGCCAGAGTGCTTTACTCCAATGGAACTGAACAGACTTACCACTGCCTAGCACTTTCCTCCCTGATCACATTGCCCTGAAACTCTGGCTTAGATTTCACCAGGGGAAGAGGAAAGAGGAGAAAAAAATAAGAGAGCATAGGGGGGAAGGTGGAACATGTGGACCCATCAGTGAGAGCGAGGCTGAAGGCTGCGGAGGCTGAAGAAGCAACTTGTCCTCTTCTGAATCTTTGACTGTGTGCGTTCCCAAATTCAACCTCTCTGTTGAAGCCAGTCTCACACCCATCCAATTCAATCATGGTTCTGAAGCTGACCTCATGAAAACAGACATTAGGATGGTGGTTACCAGGGGCTGGGGGCACAAGGGCGGATCTGGGGGGATGTTTAAGGGCACTAACTTGGAACTAGTAGAGAGGTAAGTCCTGGAGATTGAATGCACAGCATAGTGAGGATAGACAACAGAACCATAGGATAAACCTCAAAGTGGCTGACAGACTAGATCTCATTGGTTCCCATGAGAAACAAGAAATGGTTCTTATATGATGCCACGAGATGTTAGCAAAAGCTAAGGTGGAGATCACACTGCCATATGAATATGTACTGAACGAACATGGGGTACACCTCAACCTTACACAATGTTATGTGCCAATTATGTACTAATAAGGTTTTGTTTTATTTTTTTAAAGATTTTATTTATTTATTTGAGAGAGAGAGAGTGAGAGACAGAGAGAGAAGGAATACAAGCAGGGAGAGTGGGAGAGGGAGAAGCAGTCTTCCCACTGAGCAGGGAGACCAATGTGGGGCTCCCAGGACCCTGGGATCATGACCCAAGCTAAAGGCAGATGCCTAATGACTGAGCCATCCAGGTGCTCTATCCTTAAAGATTATTTATTTATTTATTTACTTGACAGACAGAGATCACAAGTAGGCAGAGAGGCAGGCAAAGAGAGAGAGAGAGAGAGAGAGAGAGAGAGGAGGAAGCAGGCTCCCCACTGAGCAGAGAGCCTGATGTGAAGCTCAATCCCAGGATCCTGGGATCATGACCTGAGCCGAAGGCAGAGGCTTTAACCCACTGAGCCACCCAGGCACCCTCAGCTGCCCTATACTAATAAGTTTTTTTTAAATTAAATTTAAAAATAGTGTAGTAGTGGCATTTATGCTGAAAGCCACAGTAGAGTGGGTGAACAGGGAAGCAATATCACCAACAGTGATACCCAGTGTTGAGTAAACATTAACCTCTGATAGGCACCTTCCAGGTACAACCATCTCATGGATCCCCCCTGACACTCTCAAGAAGCAGAACCTCTTCAGAGCCCCATTTTACAGCACAGGAATCTGACGGTCATAGTGGTTTAGGAACTTGCCCAAGATAACACAACGGGGAAACAACGAAGCCCAACCCTTCACCAGACTACATGACCACTCGCTGTTTTCATTAAGCACTTTCCACAACCTTGGTTTGTGAGATCTCCCCCTTTTTATTAACACTATGGTTACTGCACCAACAGTCCCAGGGACCAGAAAGTGTCCTGTTCTGTGCCACAGAGAGAGGAGAGAACATGGGTGGTGAGACTCCCTCACTGCCCAATTGGAACAGATTCTGTCAACAGGACACAGAGAAGCCAATTCTCTTTAGACTCTACTACGTGACTCGGGATTCCTTGAAGAGCCCCATGGGCTGGCCCCAAACTCTCCCCAAATTCCATAATCCTCTGTCAACTTCAGATGTTCATATGTACATACGGACAAGTCCAAAGAAGGGAGATACTGCATCCTGGAACTTAAGAAAAAAATCAACAACATCAATGGTCAAAAATTTCATGGAGATTTTGAGTTTGCTGCCAGTAAATCTCCCCATGAGGGTCTCCCCTCCCCCCCCAGTTCAGTGCATTGTTGTTGTTGTTGTTGTTTTAATTCATGCCATTAAAAATTAAAAAAAAAATACTTATGCCTTCCTTTAGGTAGGGTTGCTCAGTCTTGGCACTATGGCATTTTATTTTATTTTAAAAAATATATTATTTATTTATGTATTTAAGAGAGAGAGAGAGAGAGAGAATGAGAGAGAGAGCGAGCAAGAAAGGGGGGAAGGTCAGAGGGAGAAGCAGACTCCCTGCTGAGCAGGGAGCTTGCTGTGGGACTTGATCCTGGAACTCCAGGATCATGACCTGAGCCTAAGGCAGTCACTTCACCAAGTGAGTCACCCATGCGCCCCACTAATGCCATTTTAGCCTGGATAATTCCTCTCACAAAGGCTGGCCCTTGCACTGGAGCGTGTAGGGTGGCACCCGTGGCCTCCAGCCACTCAATTCCAGGCACACCCTTGCGCCCAGTCACAACTACCAAAACGGTCTGCAAACATTACTAAGGGTCTCCTCTGGGGACACCAAACTGCCCCTCCGTTGAGAACCACTACTTTCAATTTTGTTTTTACTTCCAAGAACATTAGGCATTATAAGTGAAAACAAATAAAAAGCATTGCGATGTTGGCTATATCTGTGTGAACACACACTTAGAAATCCGGACTTGCCCCTTTCAGGAAATGCCCCTCAGGCCAGCCCTCCACCAGCTCAACTGAATGCTATAGCTGTTCTAGAACCAAAGAAAATAAGATGTTGAATACTCACCACACAGAAGAAAGTTTGTCTTCTTGGCCATAGCTCCCCCAGCTTCTAACTGATGACTGATAACAAAGAGGGAACAGTAGAGTCTTATATCCTATTTCTCAAGGAGTCTTGGTGGTTTCAAGAGGACCACAATCTGTTGGTGTAATTTCCATGCATCAAGTCAAAGTCTAATTAAAGGCAGCATTACGAATACAAGCCTCTTAGGCCATCGGTATCCACACCATGCTCACTGCAGAATTCTCTGGTCACTTAGTCACATGTCAGACCCAGAAATAAAGACCAAGAAGTAGGACATCACTATCTTTGGGGCACTAATCAGCCAAGCCAGCGACCAATCTGCCAATGCTTTATGCTTAGCAACATTTTAAAACACATCTGCGTAGACAAAGGGAGGGAAAACTGAACGGGGGGGAAATCAGAGAGGGAGACAAACCATGAGAGACTCTGGGCTCTGGGAAACAAACTGAGGCTTTCAGAGGGAAGGGGAGTAAGGGAATAGGGTAGGTGGGTGGTGGGTATTAAGGAGGGCACGTGCTGTGACGAGCACTAAGTGTTATATACAACTAATGAATCGTCGAACACCACATAAAAAACTAATGTTGTACTATAGGGTGGATAGCCGAACATAATGAACAATAAAAATAAATAAACAGATAAATAAATCAATAAATAAAACTAAACACACACACAATAAAATCTATCTGCATTTCCATGTTCATTGCAGCATTCTTTACAATAGCCAGGTATGGAAATGACCTCAGTGCCTATCAAAGCATGAATGGATAAAGAAGATGGGCTGGAAATATAGAGGCTCATATGTTATCCAGCCTTATGGAAGGACATGTTGTCATTTGCAACAACATGGATCATTCGGGAGGATAGGATATTAAGGGAAATGAACCAGACACAGAAGGACACATATAGCATGATCTCACTTATATGTGGAATCTGAGAAAGACAAGTACAGAGCAGCAGGGGGTAGAATGGCGATTGCAGGGAACCGGGGGCAGGGAGAAATGGGGAAATCCTGGTCAGGGGATGTGAACTTTCAGTTGTGTAAGATGAGTGAATTCGGGGGATCTGGTGTATGACATGGGGACTAGAGCTAACAATATGGGCTTGTGTACCTGAGATATGCTGACAGTGCATCTTCTGTGTTCTCTTCAAAAATAAATGGTAACTATGGGAGGGCTGGATGTGCTAATGAGTTTGACCATTGTGCTTATTTCACAGTGTGTGCATATATCAAAACATCGCGTTGTACACCTTCAACATATACAATTTTATTTGTCAATCATACCTTAATAAAACTTGTTGGGGGGGAGAAAAAATAAATTGAATCAAAGCCACATAAATATATATGAAATATTATAAGTAAGTGAGGGAATGAGATAACATATAATAGTAAAATAGGAACATTTCAGTTCTACGCTTTAGACTTTTAGGATTTGATCTGTGAGGTTGAGAAGCTGCTTTTCTTTCTGGTTTTCATGGTATTTCTGCCATGCAGAAATTACTTTGAAGTAGATTTTCGTATCCTTGACCCTGACCCTGCCTGTTGCAAGCAGACATAGAAATAACAGCTATCTTATTTCTCACTTCCTTAGCCTTTAAGGGTTCACTTCTTGGAACTGCCCCTGACTGACCTCACTTGCCCACAAGCCCAGATCCCTATTAGAGACACCCTGCCTCAAGCATCCACTTCCGGGTGGAGAATGGCTGATTCTCCTAATAAGCTAAATGAAGTCAATGTCATACATTAGGGTAGAGATTACACATCTTGTCTATTTCCTAGATAGTAAATTTGGGATTCACATCAATATTGTGGGAACAACTGTGCCATTCAAAGAGAAACAGCAAGAACCTTGAGATTTCATACATTGTGGCCGGAGGAAGGGGAACCGGGATTCTCCACTTGGGTCCCTCTGACCCTCAGCTCTAGCCATTAACCTCTGTGCGAAGAATCACATAATTATTGTTCCTTTCTCTGACAACTTGGTTCAGTCTGTCCTCTTCCCTCTGTAGGCTGACTTTCTCTAACTGGTGAACAGGGTCCTTTTATGGCCATCTCAATGGGACCTCTGACAAAGATTCTCTCCTTGGACTCTGCTGGACTAGGTTCAACCTTAGGTGTTCTCTGTCCTTGTAGAATCCAGTTTGAGCAAGAATCCTGCTAAATCAATTTAGCAAAAACCCCCCTCCCTTGGTATCCAAACACAATCCATTATTTTACTACACTGGCTTGCCTTCATTAAGGAGTCTATTGGCCCTGATGTTTTCTCTTGATGATTTACATACCCTAACACCCACCCTGCTCCTTGGATATATATCTCCAGTTATCACTGTTGGAATCAGAACTGAGTCCAATCTCCTCCCTGACACCAAGACCCTATTGCACTGGCCCTTACACCCATCTCAGTGTTCCCTCTTGAATAAGGTCCACCTTACTGTTCTCTGACAAGTGCCCTTAAATGACCTTTTCTCTAGGAGTTCAAATATTATTACTACTTGAATAGCTGCCAGGTCCATTCTGGTCTCTTAATTCAAATGCTTAAGAGAGAAAATTTGATGGGTTAGAGGACATGTGAATGAATTGACCCCTCCTGGGTGGCCACACTGTTGCAATCAGTGATGGCCAGTAGGGACAAAGTTATGTGGCACGTGGTGGGGTGGGGGGGGTGTACCTTCTTCACCAAAGGCAAAGATACCATGGAGGAAAGCTGACACACTAACAATGCCGTCTTCTGATTGTAGACATAGTGGGGGGCCTTTTGTCTTTTCTACCAAGTGTATATCTGTGTGTACATATAAATATAGCATAAATATAAGGAGGTGTGGGGATGAGAAATGATGACCAAGACAGACAGTAACAGAGAGTGCTTAGATCATAAACTTCTGGAAGTTTAGCAGAGAGTGCTTAAACCAGTAATAGGAAGGACCAATCAGCAAGTTCATCATAAAAGAAGAATATTTATTGAGTGCTTACTATGTGCTGGATATTATTTTAAACATTGAGGATACAGTGGTGAATGAAACAGACAAAAACCCCCTGTCCATGTGGTATGGACACTCCAGTGGAGTAACACAAGAAGTAATCTGAATAATAAGTAAATATCTGTGCAACAGTGCTGAGTACTGTCCAGGATGATAAAGTAGGAAAGGTGAAAGAGATCCTGGGACAGCTTCCTTGCCAAGGTGGTATGTGAAGACAGGCAGTGTGTGGAAAGAGACTAATGTCATGGAGACACTAGGGATAGAGAAAACTCTGAGAGAGAACATAAGCTCGCTACCACTCCTGAGGCAGCAGTAGGCCTGTTCCATTCTGTGATCCAATAAAAGAAAATATTAAGCGTTCCCAGCTTGAAGACCCTTAGTTTTGGTTTTTTTTTAAGATTTTATTTATTTATTTGACAGAGAGAGATCACAAGTAGGCAGAGAGGCAGGCAGAGAGAGGTGGGGGGGGGGAAGCAGGCTCCCTGCTGAGCAGAGAGCCCGATGCGGGGCTCGATCCCAGGATCCCGAGATCATGACCTGAGCCGAAGGCAGTGGCTTAACCCACTGAGCCACCCAGGCGCCCCAGACCCTTAGTTTTCTTTCCATTCCTCTGGGGCACTAACCCAAGCGTGGGCTCTTCTAAGCAAAAGTGCATGTTGCCTAGAAGCAGAAGTGGGTTTTGGTGAATGGCCTCTGCCTCAGTGGGGTGAGCAGTTCTCAGAAAAGAAAAGCTGGGCAGACAACAGAAGAGGTGTTCCTCATATATACCGCCATTCTGAGAACAGACTAGGCACCAAGCGGCTACATTCTGATTTCTGTTTGATTATTCATTTCCTGGAACAGCTGGTTGACCACAAAGAAATCTTCAGCAGTTGCCTGTTCACTATGAACTAATGCCTAGACCAGTAATTCTCAACATTCTCAAGTGGCAATGTCTGGAGACATTTTTGATTGTTGCAATGGGCGTGTGGGGTGGGGTGGTTACTGGCGTCCAGCTGGGAGAGGCCAGGGATGCTGCTCGGCATCCTGCAAAGCACAGGATAGCCGCCCACCACCAAGAATTATCCAGCCCAAAGTGTTAATAGTGCAGAGCTTGAAAAGTGATGCTCTAAATGGAGGCAAGGAACATTTCACTTATGACCTTTTAAATTTATCATTAAAACATTTATCATTCTGGCCTTCCAGAAGTTTATGATCTAAGCAGGCATGACTTACAAGCACACACATCAGGTATGCAACAGCACACATAATACAGGATAAGTCAAGTCACATGGATGGTAATAAAGCAAGTAAGGGAGATGGATTTCTGAGAGCTAGAAGAAGAAAAGGCTCTTGAAGGATGTGGAAGCTAGTTCTTAAAGAAAGCAAAGGGGTGAGAGAGGCAGAAAAGAGAAAGAAAGCAGACTTCATGTTGGGAGGGAGGAAAAATATTGAACAGAGAGGTCCAAACCCATAGCACCTTGAACATTTGTCTGGTTTATCCTCTTCTTGCAACTGTCTTGGACACAAAAACAGCAACAACACTGGTGGGGCTTAAGTGCAAGGATTTTTCAACAGCCCAGGAAGTCTTATTCATGTACACCTTTTGAAACCATGTGAATCTCCGGAAATTTTAACTGTTCAAGAGGAATCGCATAATTTTAAGGCCAGCAAGTGTAGTGAATCATATACTTTGGTTGCATTGCTGCATGTGGAAGAGACACTTGAGCTGATTAAGCAGAAAAAGGGACACAGTCTTTGGTCCACCACCTAAAAATTGCACACGAAATCTCTTCAAATGAATCATGCAAACCCTTTACTGCTAGTTTTTACCTTTCCTGTCATTATCACGTAAAAGTGTTTTTGAAACACCTCTGGTAACAAAGTTAGCCATGCATCTATTAATTCCAGTGCTGAAAAACACTTCTAGAATCCAATTAGTATGAAAAAGAAATTAGAAATATTGAGAGTTTTGGAGGGGCGAGGTGAGGGGATGGGTGAGCCTGGTGGTTGATATTAAGGAGGGCACGTATTGCATGGAGCACTGGGTGTGGTGTGAAAACAATGAATCTTGGAACGCTGAAAAAAAAAATAA